GAAACAGGAAAGTGTCTGTCTTACTATGGTTTGGTGCGCTAATTTCCTTAGTTGCTTTTAAAAACAGAATATCTGACATTCTGACGGACGTATGTTCTTGTTTTTAATTAATAGTAGGTAGATCTCTACATTTAGTCCTTATTTTGTTTGTTTATATATTTTAAACTCTTTGTATATTTTCTATGTAAACATTTTGTAAATTTTGTGTAAATCTTTATTGTATTTTAATTTGCGTAATGTGTTGTTTTTCAACTTATGGTTGAAAACTTGTGTTTTATTTGTGCTATACTGGACTCCCTTGTAAAAGAGACTGTGACTCAATGGGACATTTCCTGTTTATATAAAGGTTTATATAGATAGATAGATAGATATAATTAATGTCTCAGTCGCTGTAACTCACATGACCCACATAATATGCAATACTACAACATCACAGTGCAGGACAACACCACTGACAAAGACCCATCAACTACAGTAACTCTTCTTACTGCGGTCTAACTGTTATAAAGTGTGAGACAATGTCATTATAATATTCAGACCAGCTCACTAACTGTTTATTATCATCCAAACACACTGCTGAGCCTCCGGTGAAGAAACAAATAGTTACTGAAAAGTAGCAGATGAGCCAATACTGATGTATCTCATTGGCTAAATGCAGTCAGCGTGACGGTATCATGTAAGAAGTGTGTCGGACTATGTTGTGGAGTTGAGCACCACTGGAAATGGCACTGCTAGAGGCTGCTGAAAACTATGTATAGCCCCTTTAAGATATAGTGAACCTACACTTGGTTAATAAAATTGTGAATGTTAATTTTTGGACACATTAATTTCATAGGCACTCGTTCGAAGGGCGACCACCAAGCTTGTTGTGTTGGGTTGGAAATAAGGCCAGGCCGGGCCAGTTAAAGGCCTGGTCCCTACCCTAACTAACTTATTAAACTCAGTAAATAATTCTCGATTAACTTTCTACTTTTGTCAATAACTTCGTAGTCAAAAACTTCACTGGAGACGGTCAAGAGTCGGTGCAAAAGAGTTTATTCCAATAAAGGACAGATCAACCTGAGTAACATCCCAGCAGGTCTCAGGATGGAACTGATCTGGTGGTCAGCGAATATCGACTTATATATACAGTATATACCTTAAACTCCACCTTTCAAGTGGGCGTTATCTGGTCTCCGCCTATAGTGTTTGCTGACCACGCCCTTACCAATGGTGAATTTCTTATCCTCTGCTGCCATCTTGTGGCCGTTTACATGTACTGTTTTACCAATTTAACCCTTTCACTTCTTTCAAAGTTACCACTTTTTAGCTACATACTTATTATTGTATGCATGTATTGCATTATTCTTTATATATTTTAACACTACTAAGTAAGTAAGTTATACAGGCATAATTTGACACCATTAAAACTCAAACACTTGTATTTTTTAAAAGGAATAACATAATTAATAAATGAATAACATGATTCAACACATCAAACATGAGCAGGCAATGCCATGTCTCACACAAAGGCTTGGTTTCTTACAGTTGACATCATTCACAGTGCGCCATGATCTCATTCTTGGCGTACGTGACTTGCAGCAGATGTTTTACTGCTATTTTGTCTACTATCAGACCTACCTGTCGCCTGCTAGCTAGATTTTGCATGTGCAGCGTCAGGCGAAGCTAGGTAAACTCATGTTCTGCCTGAACAGTTTCTCTGCTCATGTAGACACATTGAAAGGGCATAGGTTCATGAGTAACACACAGAATATAATCCTTAAGTGTTAAAAATAAAATACTAGTAATCAAACCTTATAGTACTTAAACCTTAACTCAGTAGTCAAACCTTCCATTAAAAGAATGACATCAGTGGTCAATACCTTTACCCAGCGAGACCACAGTCATTCCTCCAATGTCTACAGTAAGAGCACTTCTAAGTAATACAGCAAAAGGAATAACACAATAAAGTTATTAGATAAAAACACAGCAAACCAACAAAGTGAACAAAAGAATTATTCAACAGTTGGTTACACAAGGAGCCGGGAAACCTTGGCTCATGGTACTGTAATTAAACAATGAGTTGCTAATGTAGCGGTTGCGTTCTTTAGGTAGTAAAACACACACACGTTTGGTCCTTGGCTTCAACTTGCAGTTTATCTGGTAACACAGGATAAAGATCTGGGCCCGTATTCTTAAAGATTCTAAGAATCCTCTCAGAAAACTCTTAATTTAGCTTACTAACTTATACGTAGGAGTCTTAGCTTAAGAGCAATCAGGGACTGATCTGAGAGCAACTCTGAGCAAGGACAAGACAAAAACTTTCATCTTAGTGAGGAGGCGGGGTTGACCCCGTTATTATGTATGACACAATCTTCTGAAGACTGTGATTGTTTGGTTGTCCAAGAAGGAAAAAAAGAGTGATTTTAAGTATAGTATTCTATTCTAAGCCTTCACTTTGGAAATGACTTGTGTAATATTTCCTATTTGACCGTTCTCACACACACACACACATTATATATGTGTATATAAATCCTGTTTTTTATTTACCATGCTGTTAATTTCCTATAAGGTATTTGATTGGCTTAGAATGATAAAAATTGTTCCACTCTTTCCGGTTACACTGATTGCTGGCATGTCTATTTAAGTGATGGTTTTATTGTATCAAACATGGAATCAAAACCATGAAGGGCGAGAAAGCCCGACTGGACAGAGGAACAGTGTTTACTGTTAGCCCAGTTAGTGGATGAACACAAGGCCATTCTAAAAGGAAAATTCGGGCCGGGTGTCACAGCACGGGGTGAAAAGCAGACGTGGGAGTGTATCGCACAAACTATTAACGGTTCATTCCCCCTGTTTGTGCGCACCAGGGAAGACTGCTATATTCATAAATGCAGTTTTTTGAGGCTGCAAGGTGGGAATGTCCAGTGGAAACGGAATGAACTGAGGTTCTGAAAGTGCTGTAATTGTTTGTGTGATCACTCTGCTTACAGAAGGTTGTGACAGACCCAAATCATCACTGCTGCATTGTTACATTTTCCCAGTTGCCAAATATCGTTATGTAGTGATTACTTTCATTTCTGGCGCTACGGCATTCCTGCGCTGTGTCGGAGATGTTAGCGCGTCTCTAATAAGATCAGTCACAAACATGATCCCTGCATGATCTAATCTGATTAACTCACTGTCATCCATTGTCTGCAACACGTTTCTTCTCCCTCTTCGTCTTTCTGCCATTTTCTCCTCTACTAAAGAAACTCTTAAGCCTCTTAAAAGTCCTCGTCCGTGCTCCTAAAAGTTTTGACCTTAAGACCTCTTTTAAGGGTTAAGATGCTTTCTGAATTACTTTTTTCTTTACTAGGATTTTTTCGTTAATTTTAAGAGTAAACGCCCACATTTCTCAGAATTTTCTTAGAATTTTGTGCTATTCTTTGCATTAAGATTTTTTATGAATACGGGCCCTGTTCTCCATCACAGCCAGTCTTACAACAAATAAAATACATACTGCTGGGATTTCTAGATCACCCAAAATGTCCGGCATTCGGCTTTTGCTTTCTACAGTCGACATTTATGATGTGCGTTTTTCCAGTGCATTCTAACAAAACGTTTCTTTTGTGCAGTCCATCCTTAGAGAGGTTTCAGCACAGTGACAACTGGCACCTTACTAGTCTCAAAGGGTGACGCCAGCTCTTTTCTACAGGAGATTGTTACTGTCTGGTTGCAAAGCATTCAAAGCCTTTAATCTGGCAGACCCTCGTTGACCCCCTCCTGTTTTGGGGTGTGGGGGTGAAGGCTGTGAAGTCAGGCTGTCTTGTTCTGTGGGTGATGGCTCAGCTAAATGAATAAATGAAATAGAAAACCTACACTTCTTAAACTGACATGTGTTTTGTCTCAGCATCGAGAATTTTGTGAAGCCAACAGGTGAAGAACAGGTAAGAACACTTTGAAACCGAAAATGGGAAAACTTAAGATCAGGAGTTAACGGGAAAAAAAAATGCATAAGGAAAGATGATTTTGACATAACTAATAACTGGACATGCTACCTTACATTTATGTAACTAGTTTTTTTAGTTAACAAATAAATAACTTCATTGTAGGTTAAAATGTCAAATTCATGGTTAGAATATTCAAAGGGTTAAAATGTTTAAAAATCCTAAAAAATGTTAAAATTCCATACGTGTTTTATTTCATTTGTTAAATGAAGGTTCACTTTTAAGAGAAATGTATGTAAATGTGGTCACAAACGTGTTGGATTGTGACTGGATGACGTGCGTAGATAAAGGAGAGCGGTCCCAGGTGAGCAGGAAGAGAAACGAGAGAGGGAGAGACAGAGGAGGTCAGCGAGCGGAGCGGGAGAAAATCTACAAGAAGACGTATTTGTGAGTAAGACAGCCTCTCACCGAGGTAGTTCTGCTGTATCGTAAGCTGTAGAGTGCCGCTCGTTAAGCGAGTTAGGTGTTGGCTGCTTCGAGCTAACTCAGCTCAACACCTGCCGTCGGAGAGACTGCGTCAGACTCGGGAGCCCAGAGAAGGAGCCCAGATGGCGCTCTGAGCTACCGGAGACGCTCAGAGTTCCTCCGGCAACGCTCCCGTCGCAAGAAAGGCACTGGATAGACTGTTTCTGCTCCAGTTGGAGTGAAGGACTGTGAAACAGCAACTAAACAGACCTACAACGCTTTATTTCATTTTTTTTCTCACTGAGGTGCACAGTAATTAATCACTCTGATGATTCAAGTTAAAGTGCTAATAAGCCGCAGCTTTTTTTTTTTGTTGTTTTGGGTGAACTGAGTTTCTCTGTTGTCCAAACTAAATCTATGAAAAGCCTTGTTGGGAAAAATTGTGGAAACACTGTCATTGTTTAAGTTTACATGTAATTTAATTTATCTTCTTGCCTTTTTATTAAACTTAGGGGGAACTTATTTCATTCCAAGGAATGTGGTTTTTATTTTAATGATATCAAGATTTAAAGTGACCCCTAATACACCACCTGAAGTTAATTTCCTGCAATACTAAACTAGCAATATTCATAACTACTAAAGTAGTTATGAATGACCTCAGGGCCACTCTACATTTAGGGACGGTAGACGTGTTGCATAACTCCACACAAAGCTCCTGCTGGAAGGCTCCTGCTTTATCAATACATCTGAAAACTTGGAAGGAAGACCACTGAAATAAAGAACTCTTGAACATGCGTACTGGTTTAAACCCATTTTGAACAACTAAAGCTCTCCTTTGATCCCAAATTCTGTTTCCTTTGCAGTTTTTACAGAAAGCTGATTGTGGGTCAGACATCAGGCTGCTGACATGAAGCCAGATAACGTGCTGCTGTGTGTTTCAGGGAATCATGTGGAGGTTGGTCCTGACCGTCAGTCTGCTCTGCTGGAGCTCTGAGGGCCAAGTGACCTGCAGAGATAACCAAGATAAGGCGGTGGACTGGTGAGGCAGCTTATGGTGAACCTTGTTCTGCTGACAGGACTCTAATGTAGCGAACCGGTGCATCTGATTAACATTTCTGAGGTTTATTCTTTCTGACCATCTGTCATCAGGTTCATTTTATACAAGGAACCCAAACTGAAAACTGGTCTGGAGTACCTTTACATTGATTCAGCAACAAAATGGCCTCCACCTGTCTATGAGAACATCAAGGATCCGAAAGGCGTCCTGGCAAACACCCTGCGGCCCTTCTTTAAACTAATCAGATCAATGGTGAGAGTCCTTGGTCCGGTCCTCCTAATACCTGATCTCTGAGAATAAAATGTAAACCTAACACACTCAACATGCGCACACACACTTCTGATTAATAATGCAGAAGTCCCAAGACCTCTTAAATATGGTGTATCACAGACAGGTTCATCTGAGTCCAGCTGTAAATCTGAGTGCGCTTCACTAAAGCTCTAGAACTGTATCGTAACACAGACCGGCGGGAGCTGAACCAGAGTGACTCCAGTTTACAGCTCTCCAGCAGCTGTGCTGATAAATAACAGAAGACCATAAAACTAGCAGGTAGCTGCAGGTGTAATGTTATTTGAGTTTGAAGGCTAATCTAAAGAGGTGGGTGATCTCAGTCAGTACAGACTGTGGTTAGGGAGGGAGCTCGGTCACCTCGGTGCTTGGTCCTAAATGGTGGGAAGAGGAGGTTTGAGCGGAGAAGCAGGTCTGTGAGGTAGGACTGGTCTGGTTTTAGAGGGCTTTATGCTGGACATGCATATAAAATCTTCCCTAAAACACAAAGCTTATTAGAACAGCTATGTAAATATTGTTTGTGTGATATGAGAAGTAGAAGATTAAATAATGTTGTGCTTGTACATTGTGAGTAATTCAGACCTGCTGGATGTGTTAATAAATCCTTTTCCTTCTCTTCCTTCTGAATTATTTGTAGGACCCAAAGTTTGGATTCATCAGCTACAGCGACCAGCCTCCAGGATGTAGTGCTAAATCTGACTTTGGCCACAGTAAAGGTAAGAGAGCAAACCTCTTCTCACTGAGAACATGTCACCATTATTTATAGGACAGATTGGGAACCAGGTGGAGTAGAAATATTTAACTATTACACACAAACCCAGCCAGACAGGACAAAAGGACAGACAGCATCAGAGACAGTCGGACATGTCTGCACAGAAGTAAGAGGAGAGTTTCTATCATCTGGTGTGATGGAGACGCTGCTGGAGAGCGTGTGAAACAGAGGTCAGGTGACTGTGAAGGCTGCAGCATTGTACTCACATCAGGGCCGGCCCGTGGCAGAGGCGACATAGGCGGTTGCCTAGGGCGCCAAATGTCAGGGGGCGCCGCAAGAGAAGGTTTTTGACTTGGTGTGAATCAGCTCAGCCCAGCTGCTGCGACACGGGCGTACGCCGTGATAGTGATTTAATGCACCTTGTGCTGTGAGTCCAGACCAGAGGCGTTGCTAGACATGAAGCTCTAGTTGTAGTTCACTGTAACATCGTTCAGACACAACCTCTGGCAAGCAACCAAAGACAGACAGAGCACAATGCACTTCCCAGCTGGGTTAGCAGGACAGACAGATTCGTTGCAGCGAACGCAACTTACTATCTGCTGACATCAGACTTTGAGAGGAAAGAAAACAAGTTTACATGACTGCTTTGTTGTGCCCAGAAGGATAGTCCCTCCTCGTCATCCTCTCATTAACGTTACAGGCACTCGCTCTCACCTTTGCCTCGTTTTTTTTTGCAACGTTTCACACCGGTAGAAACGGGCCGTTGCCTTATTTTGAAAGCGTAACCGGACGTTGCGTTTTGTTATTGCTAACTTGACCGGATGTTGCAGATGTTTTGTTGCTAACTTGACTGCTGAGCCCTACACGGCCTAAAACGACACCAAGGTGTCTTGACCTTGTTACTGGGGCACAGAGCATGAATACTGGGGTACGTGCCCCAGTAAAATGGTCCACAGGAAGAGATTAGAGGACCCAAAACTTATGTCCTGAATCCTTTGAATATGAGAGAAGATCTCTGCTGGACAGAATTTACAGTTTGGAGTGTTCTCATAGGTGGCAGGTTAATCACCATGAAGAAACATGGACAGTGCAGACAGATCATTCAGGTTTTCCAAACACAATCTTTGTGTTTTACAGGGAGAGCTGATGCATCAGGATCTGTTCAGTCCTCTCTGATTGTAGCACACCGTAATGTTCAGTCAGAAGAGCATAATCACTGTGTGCTGATTGGACTGTTAAGATGTTCTGGTTATTGAGCTGGACAATAAAACAATAATAATTATTGCAATATAAGTTTTTTTTTCAATAACAATATAACAAATGTTAAATAAATATTCAATAAATGTTGTTTTTATTCACTTGAATCATACAAACCTATTTTTTATGAAGATGTTTATTTTGTTGAGGAAAAAAGCTTATACTTAATTTTACTTATGCATATTTGTTGACAAAGATGTTTTTGTTTTGTATGTTCCACCTCAGATTTGTGAAGTGATCCACTGTTTGACCTCACATGTTCTGACCATAATGAAAAGTTTAAACCACAAGTTACCATCAGCTTTCTTCAACTTTAACTCAGGAGCAAAAATCATCCTTTAAACTCGAAAGAAATAACAATTTGATTCTTATCGTGATAATTATCGATATGAAACTTTTTATGGTGATAACATTTTTGGCCGTATCGTCCAGCCCTAGCTGGCTATAATCTAAGTTTAGTGAGTCCTGGACCCAGGACCTGAGGCGGCTGTTGTTCAGGATGGAGAACCACAGAGCGCTGCATGTTAGCTCACTACTGTCAGTGTGTGGGTGTGAAGGAGGGCTAAACTGTAAAGTACTTTAGATAAAGCCACATATAAACTCTTTCTGACCTGCTGTCCTACTGTTCTTGTTCCCCAGGAGTTGTGATGGTGGAGAAAGACCAAACAGGAGTCTGGCTGCTGCACAGCACACCACAGTTCCCTTTCAGAAGAAACAAAAACAAGTTCTGGCCAGACAGCGGAGAAACAAATGCTCAGATGTTTATCTGTGTAACGTTCCCCTACAACGAGTTCAGTAAAATAGGTGCAGAGCTGTGAAACACTGTGAATGTGAAGATGTTCGCTGTAGCAGTTGAATTGAATGTTACTGTAAATGTGTCACGCTGTGCTGTTTTCAGGTAAACACCTGCAGTCCATCGGAGCTTTCCCATTTGAACATGATATTCCAGACAGCTTTCATCAAGAACTTCAGGACGCTGCAAACTGGGTCCAAAGTGATACTCCACTAAATAGGCCTACGTTCCAGGAGCTGAAATCAAGTGGACACCAGATTTTTCGCAGCTTTGCTAAGCGACAGTCAGAAAAGCCAGAAGGTGAGACGTTTAACATTTAAATTATACAGGATTAAAATCAGTTGCTTTAAATCCCTTACCGAATCTAAATTGCTTTAACTTTAAAAAAGTACAACTCAGTGATTCTGAGTTGATTTTATGAATCTCATCTTTTTCTTTTTATTCTTTCTGTTATCTTTGTTACACTCGTACCAGCAAAGCTGAAATTTAACTCAGGGATTCACATTAGAACTGAATCACCTTTTGTTGGTCGATGAGTTAGAAAAACTAGTCTGTTCACAAAATGTAGCTGATGACGATTTAAAGTCTCTGGAACTGAGCTGCTGCTTCTTCTTCTTCTTGCAGTTGGAGATCTTTACTACACTATTGCAAAAGAACTCAGCAGTGATGTTTATGTCCAATACTGGAACTGCAGGGAAGATGATTCCTATTGTGGAACTGACATTAAAGTGTCAAATGTTGTAACTAAAAACACTCCTCTGGGTACCTGGGACACAAGTGATCATTCAAAGTGGTGTGTAGCCAAAGATCAAAACAAACATTGGAGCTGTGTTGCTGATATGAACAGGGCGGTAACTCAGTACAAGCGGCGTGGGGGGGCGCTGTGCATTGTGCAGAATGAACAAGTTCAGCAAATATTTCTAAAGTTTGTTGGGAACAGTGAGGACTGTCCCCCTAAAAAGAAGAGGAAAACCAATGACTGCAGGTCAGACATGAGTTAACTGATTTATCTTTTTTAAAACAGCTAAATCCTGCTTTACTGAATCTATGGGCAAATCAAATCAAACAGAGTGGAATGAAATGAAGGATCACCCTGATATAACATGATATATGAAGGGGAGGGAGAGAGGTGGTGGTGGGGGGGTGCTGTCAGAGTGTTTCTGCTTCTTTCTTATTGTAATTCTTGATTTCAAATAAACAGCTGCGGAGAGCACTTGTGTTTCTGTGGATTTCTTCAGTCGTCTCCAGGTGGACTCACAGCGACACATAAACGTGATGCTGGACTGAGCGGAGAGCTGAGAGAGCCTTGTTAGTTCTCCAGCTTCAGGGACGATCAACTCACAGAGACATGTCGTCCCTGAAGTCTGGATCGCTCAGAGATCAGAAAACATTGACACGGATTCAGCATCACCACCACCAGTCCAAGGTTATGTGAACATGTTGGAATGCCGTTACTTTACTGCCTTTATATAAAACTGAATCTTTAATCTCTAATTATTAAAGATTATGAATTAAACAAATTACACTTTATGTAAATTCAACAAAGAATTTGAAGAATAGAAATTATTCAAATTACATCATCAATTACACTCTGACTATGCGACACAAGCAAGATGGCGGCAGACAGGTCAGGCATGTCAGGTGTGCTAGTTGCATTTTTCTGTTATAGATAGAAATAAACTTGACTTATTTCCATCTATAATGTAACCAGGTTGGCTTGATAGTCCAGTCCCAGCTGGCATCGGGTGAAAGGCGGGGTACACCCTGGACAGGTCGCCAGTCCATGGCAGGGCCACACATACAGTAGACAAACAACCGCTCACACCTAAGGACAATTTTGGTGCAACCAATCAACCTAGTCCGCATGTCTTTGGACGGTGGGAGGAAGCCGGAGCACCCGGAGAGAACCCACGGGGAAAACATGCAAACTCCACACAGAAAGGCCGGGTTTGAACATGCAACCTTCTTGCTGTGAGGCGACAGTGCTAACCACTGCACCAACCCGACTTAAAGTTAAGCTAATATTAAATGCAATGCATAAGAAAGGTAAATACCATATAACAAATTAGTAAATTGGACAATGACCAATATGGAATAGGTCAACATTGCTGCACTTTGGTAATGCTGCTATCAGTAAACTCAATAATCACAGTATCAGGTTTCTAGTTAATTTGTTGCTGAGAAAAACGCGTTACATTTGTCAGTATGTCATAATTATCATTTTCAAGTAAAGCACATAACTGTGTAACTACAGGATAACAAGAGGAGAAGATTCGATATGTTTCAACTCTCTGCTTACCTTATTAATCTTGTGTAAAGAACGACAATAAATAAGCTTCATCTGTACCTCATTAAACATTTAAGATTAGCTATATTTGATCCACCTTCATATACAGTATATATACATTACTGTAGCCTATTACTTGAGACAGCCCCTTAGCTGCAACGCAAGATTAACTGTGAATAATTTTATTCATTACACATTATCAGCCCAGTGCCACTGCGCTTTATTCTGGATTTGTTGTAGGCCTACCTAAATAAATCAGATGTTTGTGAGACACTGACAATGAACTTCAGGATGTAGCTGTTCACAAACACTGTACAGTATGTAGCCTGAGGAACAATCCTTGTCTTATAGCACACTTAGACCACTGCACTGGTCACCTTAGCTATCACCGCAACAATTGCCTCCACTGAGAGATTTGGCAGGAGCCGCCTCTGTGTTGGAGGACTTGTTGGGCACAACACTTGACAAATAACGAGGACACAACAAAGACTGAACAGGCAGGTTCCAGGCTACTGGGAACTTGGAAATTTCTGACCTCCAACTAGAAAAAGCACCATGAAACACCATGAAGTCAGATTTCCTACTCGTCACACACAACAATGGCAGCTCCCATTGTAAATGGTAAGCAATAACCTAAAAGGCAAAGTAAAGTATTAAATTAAAATAATACCTACTAGTATCAAATAGTAAACCTTGTTCTGCATGTAAATTGATGTAGAAACATTTTGTTAGTGTTATCAGGTAGCTGGTTACAGTAAACAATCTCTGAAAGTCATCTTCTCTGCCCAAAAGTTACTCAGGAAAATGTTAAAAATGCCCAGAAATGTGAAAACATTTGGAAATATAGCCCACAACTTTTCCTGACTTTTGAGGATTACCAACTGATGTAGCTAGAATGATACACAGTTAACAAGTAACATCTATCTATCACTTGTTTTTGGTCCAAAGAAACATAAGTTTGTCACAGTCAGCCATGTTATTTACATTTGGCGTCAGGCACCACCATGCAACTGAAACGCTTTGTCCGGCGATTTCGGAGTTGGCTCATAGCCGGTGCAGTTTACTATGAGTGACTAGTCAACCAATCACACATCACAATCCACATCAGAGATAAATAAACAGTAGAAACGTGGACAAAAATTATGTAGGCACATAGAAACCATGTGACACAACGCAAAGCTGGTGCTGAAAAGTTAAGGGAGAAAGAAAAGTTCCTCAATATTACTTATATTACTGCTGTTACTTAGTCTACAGCCTACCTGAAGACAGCAGTGAGGGCGACTGCAGCAGGGTGGGTAGTAACTTGTTACAAGTAACACAAATTTGCCAAAATAAAATAAATTAAATAAGTCGTTGGCACCTTTTCACCTTCCTTTTTAAAACTGTAGCCTACTTCTACTCCAGTATTTCTTTTTACGCCAGTAATCTACTTTTAAATTCGGTACATGTAGCATTCAAACCTCATATCTTAAGCAGTCTGTAATCTGCATTTTGCTTCATTAACCGAAAATAGCTGTCATCCAGGCTGTGTGCAGTTATGCAGATCAGTGGGCGCTTCTCACGGCACAGAGCTGGGCGGATGCAAACATTTAGAAAATCAGGCAAACACCTTTTCAGTTTAAGGCTTTTTTGTTCTACTGATACAAATGAAATCCAGTGAGCGTCCACCACGGCAATGGTGGCCGTGTTGGAAATCAGCCTGCGTCGCTCTTCAACAAGCCGGCAAGAGAAACACTTTCACTTTCCATTAACGCCGTGTTAAAAGCAAATTTGGTCTCTGCAGGGCAAATGAAGATTTTACACTGTAACATCTGAGTCTGATAGTAGTACGTAAAGGTTAGCAATGCGTGGGGTTGGGTTCGTAATGAGGTCGAACAACTAAAGGTAAAGAGGTGTGAAAATGGGAGTTTGTATTAGGGAATGTCCGGTCTTATCCTCTATTAGCGGTGGTGGGGGGTCGATCACCAAAAAGGGTGGAGACAGGTGTGAAAAGGGGGGGTTGTGTATGGGGGATGTCCGGTGTTATCCTCTAAAAGCGGATGTTTGGGAGTGGCTTTAGCAGTCAGTTGTATTTATAGAGGGTTCGTTTTTTGACTTACACCTGACCGAGAGTGTGGAACAGGGTGACTGAACGATTTTTGGTTGAATCAGACAGAACTATGTTCGTGCAGAACAACAGCGCCATCTTTGCAGCATCACAATCGTGGACGTCACAGGTAAAATAATTAGGAGTAATGACTCCAAAACGACGTATAATTATAGATCCTGTTGCAATGAGTATGGCTCCTAGAAAGAAGACCCCCCCAACATCATTGGCTGATTTTCTGGACTGAAAGGCTTGGGCGCCTCAGTTTGGATGGGCGGTGGAAGATTTTAGAATGTCGGGATTCTTGTTTGAGCACGGAACAGTTCATCTTTATGCAAGAGAGCTTGATGAAATTTTTCTTCGTGAAAGCGCACCGCACATTAGTTTTTCAGCCAGACTGGAATTACTTCAGAAACAAAGTCTGTAAAGATATGAGTGCTTCAAAAGGAGTCTATACCACACAATGGTGCAGGTCTGTGCCTGGAGAGCTCTACCTTGACAACACTAAAAACAATGGGGAATGTTTCTAGTCTGCTAAACATGTCAAAAAGAGATACATCGTGTATAAAATGAGAGCACTGTTGTGTGAAGCTGTTAACAATGCGATATGTGACACAGATAGGAAACTATATTGTTCTAGATTTGACAAACAGACTCTGGATGGCGTACCATGGTGCAAATGATGTATTGCTTAACTGAATCTTTTGTTTGTAAAAACATAGGTGCTTGTACTGATTTTCTGAAAAGTGTATACTTGTAATCACTGCAGACGAATATGTTGCGTATGTCGCTGTTACAAGTCTTTGTAACAAAGATAATGGAGGAGGTGATGAGGAATATATACTATGCGACTGAAAACGCAGGGGGTTACGGAGGCAATCAAAAACCATATTTGATACTACTGGAATTCAGTACACACATTCAGACGTAGAAAACTGGCTCATGAAGCAAGATGCCTAAACTCTACACAAGATGGCTCCAGTGAATTTTAAGAGAAACAGGGTTTTAGTGAATTCAATAGATTGGCAGTTCCAGATAGATCTAGTCGACTTGTCCGCTTATTCTACTGAAAATGATGGGGAACGCTATTTATTAACGTGTATAGATTTGTTTTCAAAATACGCATGGGTGCGTTGTTTAAAAAATAAGAGTGGTAAATGCATCACAGTGTCCTTTAAAGATATCTTAGCTGAAGGTAGAATACTGCATGAAATACAAACAGACGAGGGAAAAGAGTTCCTGAACAAAGATTTCGATGCGTTAATGAAAATTAATAGTATCGTACACTTTACTACATCAAATGAGACTAAGGCATCTGTAGTAGAGCGCTTTAACAGGACTCTGAAATCTAAAATGTGGCGTTATTTAACAGCCAATAATTCTAAACGATACGTAGATATATTGCAGGATTTAGTCACCTCCTACAATCATAGTTATCATCGTAGTAATAAAATGAAACAAAAGACAAAAGACAAAAACAAATTGGTTAAAACAAAAGATAAAAGAGTAATTTGTTTTAAATATAAGGTGGGCGATACTGTAAGAATTTCAAAACTACGTGGCCCTTTTAAAAAATTATACTGATGAATATTTCACTGTAAAGGAATGCGTGTTAAGCGACCCTCCTGTTTACAGGTTTGAAAAAAACAGCGAAATATTACAGGGGACATTTTATGAGCAAGAGATGCAAAAAGTTATTATAGATAAAAACAAAACATTTAAAATGGAAAAGATTTTATCTAGAAAGAAAAGACAAGGCCGGGACCTGGTGTAGGTCAAATGGGTCGTGGATTTTGGAAAAACAGGTCATTCAACTACCTTAGCAGATTACAAACACACG